GGATCCGAGATGTTGCCGGCGCGCGCAAGGACAGGTCTGCGCTGGATCGGATCGTGAAATCGGATCGGATCGAGAGCGAATCGAATCGCCAGCGCATCGTCAGGCTGGCCCTGGCCGATGCCGGTGAGCAGAGCGTGATCGCATCGAATTGGAACCGCGACCCCAGCTGGCGAATCGAATCGCATCGAACCGGATCGTAGGCGGCGCGCACCTGGAGGTAGAGGGGAGGGGGGAAGGCTTCTTAGAAAGAGGCCGCTTCTCAGAAGGGGCTGGCCGTACACCTGTAGGCAAGGCCCGCGCCTACTAAGAGGAAGCCTCCTTCTGAGAAGCCTTCCCCCTCCTCCTCCTCCTCCTCCTCCTCCTCCTCCTCCTCCTCCTCCTCCTCCTCCTCCTCCTCCGCGTGGGCGACCAAGGCCCCCCCTCTGGCCCCCCGGCCCTGTCCTGGGTGCGCCCTGGCCAGGCATGCGGGCCAGCAGTGGCGACGAAGGCAACCCATCGGAGTAAAACGACGCGAAGATCGGGACAAAATCGGATCGGGATAACTCGAAATCTCTGAGAATCGGCAGGTTTGGAGGATGTATTGGGCGCCGCGGCCGCTCCAGAGCGTTCCAGAACGCTCTGAGAGCGCTCCGGAACGCTCTGGAGCGATTTATCTCGATCCTAGCTCTGTTTTACGGAGCCTCCCGCACTATCTTGCTGGCTCGTGCGAGTCGACGCGGACCGACGCTGAATCGACGCCAGATCGACGCCAGATCGGCGCTGCCTCCTCGACCCGCAAGAGCTGATCGGCGCGAGCGCAGCCCGAATCGAGAGGGTCCACGAGGCTGGAAACGAGAGCGCCCAACACATCGACCCTCGACCCGTCCTCGCCCCTCCGGCCCCGCAGCGCCTGAGAGGCAGTGCGGGCGCGCCAGTCGCCCCTCGCCTCTGCCGAGAAAGCCGGGTCACCCCCATCTCGCCATCGCTCGGACGTCCATTCCCTGTGTTTTTCCGGTGTCGTGCGCGTTTTTTTTTCTCGCCAAATGATCAAGGATGCTCCTCGATGGTCCTCGCCGAGGAAAAAGACGCACACGTCCGAGCGATGCCAAGGACCTGGAAAAGGCGGCCGAACTCACCGCTCCTGACCAGTCACGATCTTACACTGATCCCTAGGATTGGCAGGCCCAGAGGCGACGACAATCTTAGGGAAGAGCCCTCAGAAACTGAGGGAATGCTTGAGATCGGCGTCGAGATGGTGATGCCAATCATGGGGATATGGGTATGCTTCAGGCTGGGTAATGCCTACGAGTCTGGCCAAGCGACTGATGAGCTCACAAACGAACCTCTCAAGAGGGGGACAGACGTCCACGGCGGCACCACCACCGAAAGCCGACAGAGGCGTCAGCGACACCGAGACCGAGGGACCACAAAACAACACGAAGAACGGGCACAATGCCAAACGGCAAACCGACAGCGCCTAATGCTGGGCAGGCGACTTGACACCTCAAACCGATGACGTCCGCGGCGACACCAACAGCGAGTCCTCCTCAAAATGGGCAGGAGCTGCTGTCAGTCTTCTTCACTCGTGACAGCAACAGAACCGACCCGACCGAGCGCAGCCGACTGCGAAGCAGGCGACCCGCCTAATCGTGGACAACCGGGGCGGACATCAGATTCAGACACCCGCGTGTGCAACATAACCACCCCGAGAGATCCCAAGAGACAAGGGACACTAACGTGCCAGGACACGGCGACCTTGAGCGAGAGCTCAGGGGGGTCGCCGGCGCGACACACTGCGCGCAGAGGAGGGCGCCAAAGTACGACCTTGCACGCAGCAAGCTTGCGCGCGAATGTCCACGCAGTCGGCCCCCCCCCGCTGCCACGTTAATCTCGGCGCTGGCCTGGAGGCCCACGATACTTGACCACCGTCCGTCCAGCCCCCCAAAGAAGGCTCCAGCGCGATGGGGAGCAAGCGGGCAGGCAATCCTCGGGAGCACGCGAGTGCTATTGCAAAGCGCAGGGAGAATAATTTTAAAATGATATGCATCAAACGATCCCGACCCAAAACGCGAGGCAGAATCACCAGAGAATGCTGGGACGCTTCTGACCTGGCGTCCGCGGCCTCCAGCCGTCACTCGTCGAAGACACGAGGCGGGACCCCCAAGGGAACACCGGTGCGCTTTGGGGCCCGGCGGCCGCAACATGCAGGGTGTGACAGGCGGGCCTGAAGCTCTGCCCTTTCGGTCAGACTCGGCGGCGAGCGAGGGGGGGCGGGGAAAGTGAGACGGAGCAGGCCCTCTCAGCCGGCGGCGGGGCTGCTCACAGGCCCTCGCGCCTTCTGGCAGGTGTTTGTTGTCTTCGGGCATGGCTTCGAGCACATCTCAGCAGGCCGCGGGGCGGCTCGAAGCTCCTGAGAAGGCCTGCTGCTTCTCACTTCCCCCCCTCGCTCGCCGCCGACAGACAACCCCGACCTGACGGGCGGGGAACGAGGACCAGGATTGGGTCGGGCATGTCCTCTGCCACGCGGATTTCGGAGAAGCATGGAAATTATCAAAACAAATTCAAGAATAGACCAAAAATCGTCCCCCAGCCTATGTTTTCACTATTTTCTGAATAGTCCTGACATGTCGGACTTAAGAAAAATACCGCTGGGACCAGACGGTGCTGCGCGAGGGAAGGATGCGCCGTGAGCGACCTGGGAGCCAGGGGCGAACAGACAGTCCGCAGGCCGCTGAGAGCCCCAGGGACCTGTCGGCGCGGGGGCGCCTTTGCAGGCGGCGGACCACACAGGCAGACTCAGGTAGGGCATGTCCTCCTACAGGTCGCTCACAAATAATCAAAAATCAATCAAAAATCGTTTCCCCTGATCAGTTTGACAATTATGAAATATTCCTTCTGTAGAGGGACACGCCTCACTCACAGGTAGACATGTGAGGCAGCAGGGCGTTCAAAGCAGATGCACATTCGGCCGCCCACGAGAATGAAGGCAAAGGACAATCCTTCGACTCTTGAAGCAACTCTTGATCAGGGAATGCATGAATACCCACTAATACCCATTATAACCATTTCAACGGCTGTATCCGTAACTTGAACAGTACGACACTACTGCGTGCCCTCCTCCGACATCCGATGCTCACCACCACACCAAGACACCATCAGAGTCCACTTGAGTGCGACACATCAAAGCGCAACAACAAGTTGTCAAGTGGTCCGTCCCCAGAGATGCAGACTAGACAGTGTGCCCACCAGAACCGCACGGAAAGAAACAAGGAAATATTTGAACTCAGCGCACCATGTGATAGAGCCCACACCAGTCATCCGCACACACAACTGACATCCGACAGAGGCGACTAAAACATTCTGCTGACGGACACGGCCGGGGCCCGGGCGCGTGCCAGTGTCTGCGGCTCCCGTGGGCAGAGCAGACGCTGCGCGCCTTGAAGCTGTAGTCGTCCTTCGAGATGTGGTGCGTTCCCCCGGAGCCGCTGACGCCGTACAACTGGGGCTGCCCTCAGAAGCTGCGCACCGTGCCCTCCACGTCCCACGGGTGCTCTGTGGACGCGGCTGCGTGCACCGTGGGGTGGGGCCCGGGCGGGGTGCCACGCCCCGGGGGGCGGAGCGGCAGCTGCAGCGGCGGCAGGCTGGGCCCCTCCCGCTCAGGGGGCGCGCATGTTGGAAGGGTAAACAGGATGTCCGGCCCAACCTCGATGTCGCTGCAGGTTTGAGGGTTGTCCTCCACCCACAACACCTGGACCACCTGGCTGCCTGGCGGGACGGGGCGGAACACGCGCGCCTTGTGCCAACTCCCGTGGAACTTGGCCATCACGGGAAGGCCCGGCCGCAGCTCCACCGGCTCCATACCAGTGGTGATCGAAGCCGTGCTGGGCGTCTGCGTCGAATCCTTTGGGGAAAAAAACCGTGAAGGATACCACTACTCCTCGGACTTATCCCAGGACGCGTCCTAGCTAGCATTTCGAGGCGAATTAAACCGTTGCGACAAGGGCCTCCTAGGAAGCCTGCGGAAGGCGAAAAAGAGGCAGGGGCAGCGGCATCCATACCTTTTCATCCTCTGATTGCCCGCCTCCCATCCCCGACCCCGCCGCCGCCGCCGCCGTCGTCCTGGCCGCCGTCGTCGTCGTCGTCGTCGTCGTCGTCGTCGTCGTCGTCGTCGTCGTCGCCGTCGTCGTCGTCGTCGCCGCGATCGTCGTCGTCGTCGCCGTCGACGTCGTCGTCATCGTCGTCGTCGTCGTCGTCGTCGTCGTCGTCGCCGTCGTCGTCGTCGTCGCCTTCGTCGTCGTCGCCGCCATCGTCGTCGTCGTCGTCGTCGTCCCCGTCGTCGTCGTCGTCGTCGTCGTCGTCGTCGTCGTCGCAGACGTCGTCGTCGCCGCCGTCGTCGTCGTCGTCGTCGTCGCCGCCGCCGTCGTCGTCGTCGTCGTCATCGTCGTCGTCGTCGTCGTCGTCGTCGCCGCCGCCGCCGCCGCCGCCGCCGCCGCCGCCGCGTCGTCATCGCCGCCGCCGCGTCGTCGTCGTCGTCGTCGCCGTCGTCGTCGCCGCCGTCGTCGTCGTCGTCGTCGTCGCCGCCGCCGCCGCTGCCGTCTCGTCGTCGTCGTCGTCCCCCGCCGTCGTCGTTGTCGTTGTCGTCGTCGTCGCCGCCGCCGTCGTCGTCGTCGTCGTGGCCGTCGTCGTCGTCGTCGTCGCGGCCGCCGTCGTCGTCGTCGTCATCGTCGTCGCCGCCGCCGTCGTCGTCGTCGCCGTCGTAGTCGTCGCCGTCGTCGTCGTCGTCGTCGCCGCCGTCGTCGTCGTCGTCGTCACCGTCGCCGTCGTCACGTCGTCGCCGTCGTCGTCGTCGTCGTCGTCCTCGGCAGCGGCATTCCGGTCGCCAGGCAGCGGCACCGGGCGCGGCGGTTCCCTGCGCGGCGCGTCTGGCCACGGCGGCCCCACGGGCTCGGCGGCCGCCAGCAGCCTCGCGGCCACAGGCGCCCCCTCGTGGGGCGGCGGCGCCTCCACTGGCCGTGGCGGCGCCCCCGCGCGGGCCGGCGCCTCCGCGGGCTGCGGCGGGGCCGGGGGGGGCTCCGCAGCGGCCGCGGGCGGCGGCCCCGGGGCCGCGGGCAGCGGGCGCGCGCGCGGGAGCAGCTCGTCGGGCGGAGGCCCGGGCGGCAGGGGCGGCCTGTCCGGCGGGGCCGCCTTGGCGGGCGGCTCGGGGCACTGCCTCGGGGGGGGGGGCGCGCTCGACGGGTGCCGGGCGCGCTGCTGCGGCCTCGTGGACGCTCGGGGCTCTGTGGGCTCTCTCGGCCCCCCAGGCTGAGCGCAGACATGCCTGGTCGCGTCGTATTGGAAACCAATCGGGAGGGGATTAGCTGTTTTCGGCACAGAAGCGACCTGCGAGGAAAAAAACAGCCCTGAGGGTCGAGACTTCTTGGGCCCCGAAATGAAACGAATATGTGAACATGACAACACTGCACGCATAGGATCGCAAAAGTTGTTGTGTCCAGCTGGAGTTCCTGCCCCTCACACACGGGACAAATATAATTCGCCCGCCCGAAGCCCCTGACGGCACAGATTCCTGCGTATGGTCTTCCGCGAACCTTACTGTATTCGGCTGGGTAACAATGAATAGAAAACCACGGTGAACGCGAACACGACCAGCCTTAGGAAGAGCACTTATCTGAATCAGAACCCGAACGGGTGCAATCAAATCTCCAAAACATTGCAATAGCACGCGTCCGAGAAGCACGCCCCCGGGTTCGCGTGAAACTGGTTCTAGGGTTCAATGATCGTCTTGTGGGCGTTCCAGAATGAGTGCCGCTGGGTACTCCAACAAGGCCAGCAGGTGCTCTACTCATAGAGTAGGAACAGACCAGAGCGCGATGGAGCCGAGTAGGGCAATTCTTGGAGACGTGTCGGTTCTGCGCTCCAGATCGGGATACGTTCCGTCTCCATCCTGTATAAATCCACGCGGGGACGAGACGGCGGACGGATAAGGAAAACGAGAGGGGCGACCCCGGAGGTATGCGGACATCCATAAAGATTCTCCATGTGTACGAGGCTCCTGGAGGCCTCTGGCAGCCGCCAGCGGCAAAACGTCCAAATCCATAAATGTCGACGACGATGACGACGACGACGACGCCTGGCCTTTGGAGCACACCCTCGAACAAACCACATTGTTCTAGCGAAGGACCCAACCTCAAAAAACAACTTTGGGTATCGCGGGCCAGGTGGGCCAGGAGCAACACTGCGGCTTTGACCGGGGGAGGGAAGCCGTTGGGCCCGTGGGGGAAGTGGTCTGCTTGCCGCGGGCCCCGCGCAGCGCCACCTCGTGCCCGAATTCCTTCCCAGTTCTCTCACCCTCCTCCTCCTCCTCCTCCTCCTCCTCCTCCATCTCGACCTGCTCCTCTCCCTCCTCCTCCTCCTCCTCCTCCTCATCCTCCTCCTCCTCCTCCTCCTCCTCCTCCTCCTCCTCCTCCTCCGCCTCCGCCTCCGCCTCCTCCTCCTCCTCCTCGTCCTCCTCCTCCTCCTCCTCCTCCTCCTCGCCTTCTTCCGAACGTGCGCGGCATGTCCGCTCTTGCCCGCCCGGCCCGCGGTGGCCCGAGCCCTGGGCCCCGCCGAGTCATTCCTCCTCCTCCTCCTCCTCCTCCTCCTCCTCCTCCTCCTCCTCCTCCTTCTATCGTATGTCTCCCCTCTTCGTCCTTGCGCCCGAGTGGCCGCGGCTCTGCGCACCGCAAGTCGCGGGGTCCCGCCGACGCGCGACGTTCGTTCGTTCGCAAGCCATGTCGCACGACACATCGGCTCAGCAGGGGAACGAAATCCCTGCCGCGCAGGATCAGCGGCAATCGCATATTACACCTGAGCAAATATGGGGCCAATGGAAAGGCCACATTGTTTGACAATTGCATTCCAGATTGGCTTTGGACGCCCGAAATGGGTACGGAAAAATGGGTACAATGCTCAACAGCCAATGTTGTCCCAAACCAACAGCGGCCGCTGTTGGGCAGGCGGTCTTCTGTCTCGAATGGACACAGGCCGCGGCGGCGCGGACAGCGAATCCTGTTCAAAATGAACAGGAACTGCTGTTAGGCATTGTACCCATTTTTTCTGTGCCCATTTCGGGCGTCCAGATTGGCTGTCTATACAATTGCTCTCCAGATTAGCTCTCCGGAAATGTCGGGGCTTTCACCGCCGCGCGACGGAAGAGGAGGAGGAGGAGGAGGAGGAGAGGGAGGAGGAGGAGGAGGAGAAGGAGGAGGAGGAGGAGGAGAGGAAGGAGGAGAAGGGGGAGGAGGAGGAGGAGGAGAGGGAGGAGGAGGAGGAGGAGGAGGAGGAGGAGGAGGGGGAGGAGGAGGAGGAGGAGGAGGAGGATGATGATGAGCGCTCGGCGGGGGCCTGGTCAAGCCAGGGCGCATGCTTCACACCACACACAGGCCGCTTCACGACAGCACCACCCGCATGTGGAAGCCGAAGGCGAGGAAGACAAAGATGAAGTACACCCGCGCGAATGCTGCCCGCCGTGCGTAATAAAAACTGCCACTCCAGCAATACTCCCAAGGTGTAGTGGCGAGCTCACGCTTCTTGCAACCACCAGCAAGAGAGGGAATTGATACTACACACAACGTGAAACACCCAGCTGAAATACTGCACCAAAGCCGCCAGCCATGACCACCACACCGTCACAATGCCGCGCGTCAACGCGCGAGCATACATGATGAACCGCCAGCACCAGCACGACAACGAAGAAGAGCCAGGATGCGAATGACACGCAGAAAGCCTAGGCCAGAGGCCACATCCACATCGCGACAACGCACACATGACTCCACCAGCCGCCGATACGGCACAAGGGCACACCAGGCCCTGGGCGAGGGGAATGCTAGCCGCCAAGGCTCGTCCCTCGACCCTGCATCAAAATTGCACTGAGCCAACTCCCACCAGAAAATCAACTGAACAAAACCAATCCAGTGGAAATGAGCCCAGCCCCGCAGGTAACAACAAAAATGCCTCGAACAAAGCACCGGCATGATGCGCACACCGTGCAACTGCACGCCCAGCAGCCCGCCAGCTAAGTAGCACAGCCCCATGAACACGAGGAAGACCACCTGGAAAGCGAAGAGCTGCAGCATGCAATCGAAGTGGGAGGCATACGAATTCAACCCGGCGTTGCCAGGAGCACCTGGACCTCAAGCAGCAGGGAGCGGCGCACCACCCCACATTAAGCCCCGGGACGACGGCCGAGCGGCGCTGCGGGGGGCCACTCGAGCCGACGTGGCTTGAGAGGAGGAGGAGGAGGAGGAGGCGGAGGAGGAGGAGGAGGAGGAGGAGGGCGCCCCGAAAGTGTCCCGGCGACGCGCGCGGGCCGCCCGCGGCACGGAGCAGCAGGCACGGGCGGCCGACAAACGGGCACAGGGCGATGATGGGCAGAGCGCGCGGGCGCATCGGGGGCAGCTCCTGGAGGGGCAGAGCGGCGAGGAGTCCCCGCGAGGCTGTGAGGCCACGGAGCAGGAAGGGTGTGCTGGGAGGAGGAGGAGGGGGAGGAGGTGGAAGAGGAGGAGAGGAGGAGGAGGAGGAGGAGGAGGAGGGGGAGGAGGAGGCGGAGGGGGGAGGAGGGGGGGGGGGGGGGGGGAGGAGAGGAGGAGGAGGCGGAGGAGGAGGAGGGGAGGAGGAGGAGAGGAGGAGGAGGAGGGAGGAGATGAGGAGGAGGAGGAGAGGAGGAGGAGGAGGAGGAGGAGGAGGAGGAGGGGGAGGAGGAGGAGGAGGAGGGGGAGGAGGAGGAGGAGGAGGAGGAGGAGGGGGGGGGATCGAGGATCGACGGGTTCGAACCCAGAAAGCTGCATGGTCACACATGTCTCGGGGCTGGACAGACCTCCCTTTAGTAAAACGCGGTTCAGTGAAAACGACCTCGGGCCAAAACCTGGCGGGCGCAAGCCTGGAAAATGACGGCCGCGGCGCCCTCTCAAGAACCGAGGGGGCAGCTCCTGGAGGCAGAGCGGTGAGGAGTCCCCGCGAGGCTGTGGGGCCACAGAGCAGGAAGGCTGTGCCGACATGGCTACTCCAGATTTCGTAAAAAAGGGAGGGGGTCTGGACTCTCAGACCTCCCCCGTGGGAGAACCCTCCAAAACATTGTCCCCAGACCCCCCAGGCCCTCCAAGATAGCCTGGAAGAGACCCCCCTCCGAAATGAGACCCCCCTCCTGGAGGCAGAGCGGTGAGGAGACCCCGTGAGACTGTGGGGCCACGAAGCAGGAAGGCCGTGCCGACATGGACACAGTCGGGGCGTTGACCTAAGGAACTCTAAAAATAAGGAACGGGGCCCCTTGTTTTCCATAAGTCAAACTTCGTCTTCCCATCGGGAAACATAAGGGAAACCTGAGGCAGGCTGTGAAACACTTAAGGAGCGTGGAGCCCCTCCCCAACGAAAAGGGTTCCTTCTTCAGGGCCCCGACTGTATGCGATGGGCGGGGGCCGCATGCGAACCCTCCCACTGGGGCCTTCGGTGGAGTTCCCCATGGGGCCACGAGGCGTGTGAGGGGTGTGCCGAGACGGGCATGCAGTGGGCGGGGAGTTAGCCTTCGGTGGAGCTCCACAGGGAGCAACCAAGCGTGTGAGGGGTGAGCAGGAATGGACATGCGGTGGACGAGGAGCCGAATGCGAACCCTGCCACTCGGGCCTTGGATGGAGCTCTCTGTGGGGCTACGAAACGTGAGAGGGGTGTGCCAGCATGGCTACGCGGAGGACGGGAAGCCGCATACGAACCCTGCCTCTGGGGCCTTCGGTCGAGCTCACCAGAGGGCCACGAACCGTGCGAGGGGTGCCCCTTAATGGTTGACATGTTCAGGGCAAATGCAGGAATGGAAGGAGGGACGAGGAGAAGGAGGAGGAGAACGAGGAGGAGGAATGAGGGAGGAGGGCGGGGCGCTCTATCTTCAGAGCCACCGGATTTTCGGGACATAGAACAGCACAACAAAACAAGACGGCGACGCCGCGACGACGGCGATCGATCCTCGACGACAGCTACGTCGCCGACGACGACCCAA